GATAGCAGGTTCTTTTATATATTTTTCAGATACAAAAATTATTATAATATTACTAGCTAATACTATCTAATATACAAGATATATTTTAAAGTACTATAGTATAATTAATTATGAATAGGTTATATCAAAGTATATTGAAAAATATTAAAGAATGTTAAAGAACATTAGAGTATATAAAAAAATGTTAAAAGACGTGAAAAGATATAAAAAAATATAAAAAGATATTAAAAGATATGAAAAAATATGAAAGGATATGAGAGAATATCAAAGAATAAGAAAAGATATTTGAAATCATCATCTAAGTATAACTATTCTACTAAAATTAAAAATAATCTTTTACTAAACTATTCTACTATATATATGAATATCATATTACAAGTTAATAAAAATATAGATTCCAAATATTAAATAAGATATAATATTTAAAAATAGAAATGTGATAATAAATATAATAATATATGATATGAAAATAGAAATAATTATAAAATAAATGAAAAATATAGAAATATATGATTTTGCATAATTAAGAAAAGATTAAGAAATTAAGAAATTTTATATCACTATAATAACAATACTTTTAAAAAAAATAAACTTAAAGATAATAGTTGAATTTTGAAAAAGAACACTTATAAAAGTTAAAGAATATCAAGAATCAGATAATAATACAATTTTATTAAATAGTGAAACTGATAATGATAATCTTGAGAGTAATAATAAATTGTAATTTTTTTTCTAGTATAACAAATTCAAATATTTATTAAATATTTTTATTTTAAAAAGTTTATATATATAATAAAAATTTTTATACCAAACCATATTTTTTAAAATTAAATAAAATTTATAAAAAATGATTATTATTTATAAATTTGAATTTAAAGTTTAAAAATTTTAAAAATCTGTTTTTTCAAATTTTTAACAAAAAATTATTTATAAAAAACTTTTTAAAAATAATTTAACAAGTTATTTTAATTATTTTATATATTATGCTTAAGTAAGTTTGTTTAATTATTGTTTAATTATTATAAAATTAATTTAACTTAAAAAGTTAATTAAAAAATAATACTGATTATATAAATTTTTGTCTAACTTATTATATAAATCTGCATTTCACATGGAAATTATATAAAAGTCATATGATATTTACAAGAGAAATTTATCTAATTTTTAAAGAAAATTAATTATATATAATGAATTGAATATATACACAAAGATAATTATTTTTTAAACAAACGTATTCATTATCAACTATTAACATGATTTCGTTAGAATCATTGTACATTCTATTTATTCATTCTATAATTAAAGTAATTACCTTGTATCCATCAAATCATTCTGCATGATTTTATTTATTGGATACCGCTTTCTTTGCGTAAAAAATAAAAATTCAGACTAATCGATTGATAATTATTGATTTCTGATCGAAACATCAAAAAATAAATTCATATTATAAAAAGAAATTCTACAATTGTGTTAGGATAAAATAGTGATATCAAAAAAAATTCACTCCCTCTAACAGATAAGGATATTGTCATAAATAGTGTATTTTTTTGATTTTTGATTAAAGTCCTTTAACAATCAAATTTCAAAGGATAAGCCGGTCAAAACGCAGCCAGAATTTAATCAATTGAAGCGCAGATTATTTCTTCCATATAAAGCTATTATTGGCTGATTTGAACTGCTGACGAGTCAGTGATTTGGGTTGAATCCTTTTGTATACGGGATAATGCGACAAAAATACATCATTTTACAATTAAATTATTGCGAAATATTAAAGAATGATAAAACTAAATACCTCATCGATTTGCATGTATTCGCTCATTTCCGCATCCAATTGTTCTTGCGTAGGTTTTGCTCTATTATCTGATCTACGAGTACTTCCACGGATACCCCGTCCGCCTCGTGCCGTAGAACCCCGAGTCCCACCGATGCCACGAACCGTTGGACGATTTCTGTAATATTAATTAGATTTTAGAAAATAGAAAAATGAAAAAATATTTCATAATTAAATTTCATGTTAATGTACTCATTTAAGCCGCCAATACGTTGAGTTATAGGGCCGGCATTAGGAGCTACAACAAATTCGATTTTAATATCGCGACCTATATATAATAGAATCGTTAAATATTTACTATTAATAAAAGCAAGCTTCAAACATTAAATGCTGACCGTCTAATGTAGTGTTGCGAAATTTTTCGACGGCTTTGACCGCATCAGTTCTTCTATTAAAAACGACAGAGGCGGTACCCTTGGAACGACCATTTTGATCAAAGTTCAGGTTTACTTGACGTACGGGTCCGATCATCGAGGTAAAAAGTTCCTGAAGGGAAAGGGATAGGGGATGTCGATTACGTGTTTTGTGAAGAAGGAGCGTGTGTAGGGTTTGCAGGTAGGTTGATGGTTTTCAATAGGGGCAACAAGTTGAGAGCGGTGAGGAACGTGTCTGACTTTCCAAAAGCAGCAAGGCGAAGAAAACGGCCGTTGACGATAAAAATTCGTACAAAGGTCGCTTTGATTAAGGCTTATAATTGACCGTAACCCTAGCAGCTTTGGCACCAGAACATTAAGAAACTCATCGCTTTCTCTCGCCTCCAACTATAAAGGCGTATTTGCCGACCAATCGGGATGGTTTGCAAAGTTTGGACATTATTAAATATTTACCCAAAGGTCATTCTCTGTTACTTTATACGCAAGGTTCGACACTAGAATCTTCCCTTCAGTTGCTGCATTAAGACTAGCTGAGGTGGTAACAGATGTTCCAGTATACGGTCTTGCTCTATTCTGTGAAGACCGTAGAGTTCTGATAGGTCCATTTGAACGTTTAGTCATACCGCCACCTCTAGTTTGGCCACCAGACCTACCACCTCGTGATGGTCGTTTCTTTGCGATGATTTCATCTAGAGACATATCTAAGCTTGTGGACATGATGATTGAGAATTTATGTAAAATATAGCGTTGAAAATAAAGTACTTCAGGGTTATATCGATATCGATATGAGATATTGCAACAAAACCAAACAAAGTGAACATAGCATTACACAAAAATTTCAGGGGTTCAAAATTTAAGGTAATAACCAGATCATCTGACTGAGGTAAATTTTAAAGAGAAACTTTTCCCCTTTTAGGAATACAAGACACCGAATTCTTTTTCTATTATTTCTATTTTGCTAATTAGGACACACAGCCAATATAGCACTTTATTTTTCAGAAGAATTATGGAATATCTACGAGCATTTTTCGTAGATGGAGCGAACGTGAGATGTTTCGAGCGTCACCATGCCGGGTGGAAAACGTTTGTATTCCGTCACGGACATCGACCGAATCTTTAACAAGGAGCGTGCAAAAGAAAAAACTTTGTTACGCACGAGTATCCAGTGAAAAGCAGAAAGATGACCTTGAAAGGCAGCATGCATACCTCACTTCTAAATTTCTTGATCATGAGATCGTTACTGACGTCGGGTCTGGTCTCAATTGGAAACGACGAGAATCTGTGTCCATTCTGGAACGAGTGTACGCAGGAAATCTCGAGGAAGTTGTGGTTACCCGCAAGGAACGATTGAGCCGATTCGCACATGAGCTCGTCGAGTGGATTTTTCAGAAACACGATGTCAAACTCGTGGTTCTCGGTACGGATGTT